GTATGCAGAATATGCGGTAAAACTTATGTACGAAATATAAACTTTAGGAATATTCTCATAGTTGGTGGATGCAACTTTTCAAAGGAAATATTTTACACGTATTATGTACTGTTTAAATTAATAAGATATTATACAAGTTGGTGCATTGTGTTTTTAACTTTCACGGTTACAAGTTTGTTGTATTTTCTTACATTATATTTTAGAAAATAATATTAAATGCTTCTCAATATTAAAGTATAAAAATAAGATGTGCAAATTATTAGTAATATTATAATACAATTTCTATAAAAAAATAAATTTGACAGCTCGTAAAAAGGATTTCAATTGACATAAAGCCAACTAAAAATAGACTAAAATCAGGTGATATTTTATTACAGTAATTAGTTAATTTTTAAGCTCAATTCAGGTTTAAAGAGTATAGAAAGTTTCGTTTTATACAATGATGAGAGAATTTGGCATCAATCTTATAAATGGTAAAGTAAAGTTACAGCCTATATACGTCCCATTAGACATGCAGATTTCCTCGCGATGTTTTATTTCACCGCTGAGCACGTGATAAATGAACAAGTAACAATTTCATTGGTACCAGCGGGAATCGATACCGGATTGCTCGCATAATTGCAATTTACGGCAAGTGTATAGCCTCCACCACCACGGCTTTTAAAGTAGGTAATGTTTATTAAATAAGAGTATTTGAAATGAATGGGGAAAATACCATGTACTCTTGTTATATAATAGCAGTTAATTCTGCTTCGCTCGTGGGGAGGGTGTAGAGAACTAAAGACCCTATTTGGAGGTCACTCATCACCATGTAGATAGTGTGTGCTTGTTTGTTGCGCTTATTCTATAAGAAAAATTCTTTCCTCCCGCGACTTACGTAGCACGACGTGGACAGGATACAACGTAACATGTCTATTGACGCATCAGTAATGAGAATTGACAAAGTTACGTCATTATTCCAGTGAGAGTTTTTTAATTTAAAGTCATATATTTTAAGTGAGTAAAACTGTAACATACAAGTGATCACACTTTAATTATTTCAGGGAAATTCAACGGTTTTCCATCACCAGTTCGTTAATCATTAAAGCTTCCAGGTAATGATACACGGTGCCTTGTATCACTGTATACTATGGTACCGTGTGCTGATATAAGTAACGTGTAAAATAAAGTTAGTAAGATATTTGCGATAAGTTCATACGATATGTTCATTCACCATCAAGATCTTCGTATTTCAGTTTAAAGTTCGACTCATAGTTTGGGTGCGTGCTCCGGCCTTAATTGAACTCTGGTAACTCGTGTAATATGAAACTTATAACGTGCGCTACCACTGCTCATTTGAGACTGCTTAAAGGTAATAAGAATTCAAATAGTAAGTAATTAACTTATCTGAGTCTATTTAAATGTAAATATGCAGCTTACTCCAAAGCAGATTAAATTTCCTTGAAATGAGAAAACAAAAAGTTTACAAAAATAAAGAAGTAATGGTAATTAACGTAACATTCAAGATGCAACGAACTTCTTTGATTGAATTTCATTAAATTAAAATTAAATTGTAATAAAATATCTTGTGATTTTACTTTTTTAATTCTGGTTGAAATATAGGAGCGTCTCCTTTGTTAAAAATACATTTTGCATATTTTCTTTGTAATATCACTTACTGCATTAAGTGACATAAGGAATAACAAACTATTTGTATAATTTAATTTGGTACTAGCTGTCCTTAGTTAGCATAGAACCTTTTTTCATTTGTTTTAAAATCGAATAAGCTGCTAAAATATTGTGTTCAAAAATCTTAAGGAACTAAGCCGTGCCATAACATTTGGTGTTAAGTACAGAAACACTTATATGAACAATTTGATCAATGAAATTACGGTCTTATCAGAAAAAAAATATATACGCTTTTGCAGGGCTAAAACATAATTAATTTTGATAGCGTTGATAATACGCAATAATTAGGTACCAACATTGCCAAATTTATTATCATACATTACAACAAAGACGACTTGAGCCAAAAGTGCGCATAAAGAAACCATGGTAAGTGTCATCTTAAAATGACACTTTTTGCTTTTTCCGCCTTCAGTTTGTCAAATAATGATGCGTAGTATTCTCATGCAATGGTTTTTCCATTTTGAAGATTATTGATTAAATTAACTCGATGACTATCCCAAAAACCAGTCGCTATCACTTTCACAGTCGAAAAAACAGTTTTTGGAACCAGATTCCTCTTTGCACTCCACTGTTTTGACTATATTTTTAATCCGGGAGTATAGTGGTGTATACAAATTATATTTAGAGTTATTAATCTCAACCTGAACCTAAACCAGAAGTCCGAAGAGTACAATCTGTCACTTTGCCTGGGGTATGTGGATTATGGGAAAGCCTTTGATTCCGTCGAAATTTGGGCGGTGCTACAGTTTCTTCCGCGGTGCCAAGTTGACTGTCGGTATATCGAAGTGCTGAAATGTTTGTACAGTAGGGCTACGATGGCTATCCGAGTACAGAACCAGAGTACGAAACCCATCCAACTGCAGAAAGGTGTAAGACAGGGTGTCGTTATATCCCCGAAACTCGTCACCGCTGCATTGGAAGACGTTTTCAAGCTACTGGACTGGAAAAGATACGGTATTAACATCAATGGTGAGTACATCACTCACCTTCGATTTGCCGACAATATAGTCATTATGGAAGAATCGCTGGAGGACCTAAGCGCTATGCTCAATGACCGCAATAGTGCCTCCTAACGGATAGGTCTTAAGATGAACAAGGACAAAACGAAATTCACGTTTAATGTCCATGTCACACCTACGCCAGTAGTTGTTGGGAGCACTAAGCTCGAAGTTGTTGACGATACGAGTAAGTCGTATGAGAACATTTACCAGGGACAAATAGTCCGACTAGGTAAGTCCAACTCCGACCGAGAGGTCAATCGACGGATTCAACTCGGCTGGGCAGCGTTCGGGAAATTACGTTACATCTTCTCGTTTGGTACCTCAAAACCTGAAATCGAAATTGTACAACCAGTGCGTGTTGCCAGTGATGACCTATGGAATTGAGACGTGGTGCTTCACTGCTGGCCATATGAGAACGCTCCAAGTCGCTCAGCGAGTTATGGAGAGGGCTATGCTCGGGGTTTCTCTGTTGACAAACTTAGAAATGAGGATATCCGCAGTAGGACTACGGTGACCAACATAGCCCAACGGATTTGTAGAACAGATTAGTAAGCTGAAGTGGCAATGGGCCGGCCATATAGCTCGAAGAACCGACAACCGTTAAGGAAAAGAGGTTCTCGAGTGGCAGCCTAGTACCAGTAGATGAAGTGTAGGGCGACCTCCCACTAGATGGAGTGACAAACTGGTAAGTTATGCAGGAAGTCGATGGATGCAGGTGGCGCAGAACCGTGCTTTATTGCATACCTTGAGGGAAGCCTATATTCGGCAGTGGACTTGTGAAGGGCTGTAATAGTAATAAAATAATAATTATAATGACGTAATATTGTACATAAATTGCAAAAACTTCCTAAGGTTGACAAAAAAGATAAGAAAAACTAATTAGGTACTCTTTATTATTTTTACTAAATTTACTAAAAATACTAAATTTTATTCAAAAAATATTTTTTATTTGAAATTTAATATAAAAAAATCTGAACTAATTCTAATATCTTAGAAATAATTATTATCGTATAAGTAAAAATCTATTTATCTCACGTTTATCTTTTTCACATGATGCTCGTGACGTATTCGTAATGCATAGCTTTTATTCAGGTCATGTATCAATGTTTGTTGGACGTTTATAAAATTAGCTGAAGCAGAAACGACTCGTCCTATGTAAACTAGTTTGGGTTGTGTTGAACGTAAATTTAACGAACTACGTTTATTCCACTACCTCTTACGTATTCTTGAAATGTTTACAATATTTGTTTAAAATGGAAGTGTAATAGTCACGAAAATTATCATGTTTGTAAATATTTATATAATAAAACGCTTTTGTACCTGAATATTTTAATGTAATTTTTACTAACTTGTAGACGGCCGATTGACTTAAAAATTTGCACTCGTATCAAGGACCGACGAAAATACAATAACTTAATAAATTTATTCTAATAATCTGATCAGGATCACCACGATCAAATAAAATAATTATCGAAATCATCACAGCTCATGATCATTGGGTCTTGTTTCATTTTTTAAAACTCTTATATAAATATTTTTGCACAACCAGAGATGAACTAATTTAAATTAAGAACAACTATATATTTTATGAGTATCCGCCTTATCTATTAGTTTTGAAGGATGGTTTTAGTGTTGTGCTGTATTAATGCTCATGTAATTACTTTCCGTCGGTCTATCCATACATATCACAACATTATAAGCTCTTTGGATGTAATAAGATAAAAATTTAGGAGTATTAATTTATATTTGATATAATATACATAATATAGATAGTATATATACGGAATAAGGGAATACAATCTGTATACGTGTGTGTTGAGTGATCTTGGTTGATGTGTACATCATAATCAAAGGCTCGGCTGCGTTCAGGATGTTACGACACGTCATATTCTTGTCACGTATTCTTTAAAATCTTGAAACAAGACCGTATAGATAGTATAGATTGAACTATGAACAATGAATGTATGATTTCTTATTTTTATGACTATGTACATTGGCTTCACACATTGTTTTCTTCAAACATACAGAAAATGAATTAATTCAACTGAGTGATCTACAAGCAGACATGTACGGCAATTTAGATAATATAGAACCGTTAGTAAAAAGCGGGTCTTTTATTAAAAATAAATCATATCTGAAATGTATTCTTACACTGAATTTATATATTGCTAAGCTGTAAGCAATATATAAATTCAGTTATCAGTATATAAATATGTTCCGCTCTTGGGAAGTAGTATGCTTGAACAGATATTGGCTGACGATGACAAGCAACACAGTGAGTTATTACCTATTACAACCTCTGTTGAAATTCATTATAATCTAAATGCTAGTCTAGCTGAATTTACTGCGCTCTATTACACCTATACCTCCTGAGTTTGTTTCACTTGAAATAGAGTCGAAGTTGCCGGAACCTATCTCAGAAGCTGATGTTGTACATTCATTTAGTTCACAAATCACTTCATCGTCTATTTTATACACTGATAATAATGCAACATCATCAGCAGGTGGCACTTCCAGTGAATGTTCTTCACCTTCGTCAACAGTCATGTCTGGGAGAAAACGACGTAAATTTACAATTGACGGCACAATGAGAAAGAGGAAGTGCAGAAAAGAGAATTGGATTGATACAAGAAGAAAATTATTGCTAAATCTTGGTAAAATACACTCATCACGTGATGATAAAGAACAAAAACAAAAATCTCTCATGCGAAAACTGCAAATTTAAGTGTCATACAAAAATTTGTGAAAAAAAAAAAACGGAGAGTATTTGATTTATTTTGGGGTCTGGGTAATCATGTTAAACTTTGGAAATTCATTGGTAAATATGGTATGTTAAATAATAAATTAATTAAACGCAATTGATAAGTTTGATAAAACAACAGGTTTTTGTAAAGAAGATTAACGAGGTTTTCATGGCAATGAAATAAAAATGCTGACTGAAACAGTCATCCAAAGCGTGTGTCAAAAGTTATCAACCGGTAGAATCACAAAGATACTAAGAAACTATATTTGGACAAGTCATAAAAATCAGTGTCATGTACAAAACATACAAAACATGGACTCAAAAAAACCTCACAGAAGTTGTCAATACATTGAGACAGTTCAGGAATGTTGTTAATACCTTAAGTTAAGTTCTTTGTACCAAAAGAGGATCAGTGTGATCAGTGCATTGCTAATAAATATATAAATTATATTTTTTATAGGAGAGGGGGGCAAAAGAGCATACGGCCCACCTGATGGTAAATGTTTAACCACCGTCCATGACAACTGCGATGTCAGGAGAATCGCAGATGCGTTGCGGGCCTTTTAAAAAGGAATAGGCTATTATCTTGAAGGTCCCTAAGTCATATCGGTCTGGAAAAATCTCTGGTGGGAAGAAAACTCTTTTAAATTGCACAGTGGTGGACCGCCAGCCATTCAGATGGAATGGATGGTATCACGAGTTTTATCGCGATGTGCTATAGTGAAATTGTGCGGCTGGAATTAGTCCAAACTATTCCTCAGAGCACTCCACGTGATAGATGTGATAAAATACGCAAAGAGATTTTATCGCATCTACCATAACGCCTCTTCGCAATGCCAGTGAGTCAAGCCAATCGGAAAGAGCTCGTTCGCCGACGATTCGAACTGCTCTGCTCTGAGGAGCCCCAGCCCAGAGATGAGAACAGTATTCCATGTGCGGCCGAAACCGCACCCTGCTGAGCGCGTCAAGCTTTTTAGAGGCCAATTTGACCTTCTCTTCCAAGTAACCACAAAATTGCACGTCATTCGATATGTCGACGCCGAGGATTCCGATAGTGGCTAAGGCAACAAGGGGAGTGCCTTGAAACTGCACATTTGAACATGCAGAAGATACGACGAAGGGCTTCTTTTTAGTAGTAAACGCGCAAACTTGTGTCTTTCGGGGATTAAAATAGACTAGATTTAGTCGTCCCCAGTCCAAGATTTTGTTCAACAAAGTCTCAACCTCAGACACAAGTTTGTGCCGGTACTCGGTGACGTTTTCCCGACAAATATTGGCACGGCCTGTGTGTAGAGCATCACCTGTGCTAGCGTCTGCATAGCAATGAATTTTACATGCGGTTGCAATATGTCATTAATATGCAGAAGAAACAGCGTTGGTGATAGCACGCAGCCTTGTAGAACACCAGCGTTAATGGGCTTGTAATCGGAGCATTCGCCGTCTACTACGACTTTAATACTCCGATCAGCAAGAAAACTGGTAATCCAATTGCTTAATTTCTCGGGCAGCTCATAGGAAAGAAGCTTCGTAGGAAGCGCTTTGTGCCAAACCCGATCGAAGGCCCTCACTATGTCCAAACTAACGGACTCTTTGTGTCAGCAAAATTTAATCCCACCAAGATATCATGATTTTACAAAAATATTAAGCATAGCAGCGCCATAGAAAAATCTAAGAACAATTTCAGTTTTCGTTCCTAATTGTTAACATTTTGATATTTTTTATTATAGCAATAGGAATTTATTATAATGCTTATAATTAATTGCTATTGCTATTAGAAGAAGTAAGAATAATTACGATGTTGATATGTTTTAAGTTTAAATATTGATATTTTTGTGTTTCTTTTTAATTTTATATCAGTCAACTTGCAAATGGTGCCTTTGATAATAAATAAAACATAGTAATATATTGCATTTTTACTTAAAAATATATTTAACGTGGAATTATTAAATATTTAACGTCGTTTGGGAACTAAATAAATGAGTTTAACTAATAACCAGAGACAAAGATTTAGTTTAGTGGTAGATAAATCATTTATTGACTTAGATTATTAATAAAGACATCCGCAAAATTTCGTTAAAAAAGGGGAATACTGTTTGCATGTTATATATGTTGTATAAAATACATCTAAATAATTTCATTCAAACAACAACACAGCGATAAAACTTGTTACATAATTCATAAAGAACATTATTTTAACGCATCATAGAAAATTTCATGTTTATCGGCCCATAACTCTCAAAATGACCACAATGCTGAACATAGGGAGATCCTTAGATTACCTCATAGGCCAGATTTTGGTAACTATGAAGTAGCCACACTGGCCAGGCGGGTTGGCAACCGCAGTTTTTTTATAATTTTAAGTTGTTATTATAAAGATGCTGCTGCACATCTGATTATGTTTTCATCTGTCGTCTACCTATGGTAACTTCTCGCCTACGGAAGAACACGGGGTTATAGGTTATATCACTAGCTAGTGCTAGCTACTAGCTGGTGGCTGGCCGATTTGCAACTTGTCACCATGCGTTCGTAATCCCGCAATGCATAAAGGTTTCCTTTGCGCGTATCTACCTGTACGCATATTTAACATACCTAGATTACGCGTACTTAAGTGCTTATGATATATATATATATATATATATCATAAGCACTTAACGTGTGCACATTTGGATTTACCAAATGTTTTTTTCCACTTTTAACGAATAAATTAAACTAAAATAAATAAATAAAATAAAATAACTATGTTTGATATTTCTAAGCGAATGTGTTTAGGTATAATAACGGTAGCGGAATATGTAAATTAGCCCAATATATGCGAAATCAGCACGTGTTGCAATAAATTCAAGACGTTGGTTTAGAAATTACCACTAATTCCTTGAACTTCAGATAAGGAATAGCGCTTAAAAGCTCGTAAATTTGCTTTAAGTCCCTTAATGGAAGATTGTTCACAGTATAGTGCTCACTGTATAAACGAGATACCTTAATTTTTTATTATATTAAAGTATAATAATATATTTAAAAATTAAGTACGGGTTGTAGTCCAGGGGATAATAGCTCGCTGTAAATTTCACGATTCCCGCCGATAACATCGAAAATATTAATTGCGATTTTAATTGCCGTGGTATTATTATTAGTAAAAAGTATATTATAAGCGGTAACTGAAGTCATCACTTTGGAGAATTAACAATAAGTAATATCTTATTTAATATCCAGAAATAGTAAGTTGATTACAAAAGATTTTTTTGTTATTGGTATTAAATCCTTTTCTACCTTAGAGATATTAAACTCTTTCTTTACTGTCTTTTCTGCCTCGTCTATATTGGATTGGGCAATAACGCCTTGAAGATTTGTAGTGTCGTGCCTTAACGTTTAGTAGCTTGGTTATCCACGGGAAACGATGAAAAACTGGCTGGCCTGAAGTAAACTCTCCAGGTGGGCTTGACAAGCCTTATCCGGATGCATGGTGTTGGGCTGATAGTGCTGTCCTACATACTAGGTTTCTTTTAATTTTGATTGGTCTATTAACTTCTTTTCACAAATGGTGTGTCATAATTATGTCACACCATTTGTGAACATGTCACACCATGTGTGTACTAATTAGGAGCAATATTAAAAGATAAACAACTCTCACAAAAACACTCACTCGTCCTAATATACTCATAACAAGAAATGCGGAGGCATATAAAACTCATCAAAACTCATATACCAACAGTTATTTGTGTTTTATTACATATGTTAGCTCTATATATGTTAGCTTTCGGAAATCAAATTCGAATATTAGTTACACCGATAGTTTTTTTTTGGTTTAGAACTATAAGCACAAAAGGGATATTATTTTTTATAGTTTTATATCTTAAGCTATTAACACATTACAAACGGATAATATTTTTCTAATTTCCACAAAAATATCCATAAATATTCGCCAGGCGGTGCGGCGTCTGTAAAGCACTAGTTTATAATTATTCATAAAGTACAGTCCGCTTTAATCTATCTTTTATAATATAACATTTGACTTTTCAGATACATGAATACAATTTATTTGATGTATTTTATATGCTAAAATAGTTCACCGAAGCTTGCTACAATGCACGAGTGAACACAAAAATAAGATGATTAAGTAATTATTTTTGAAAATCGATCTTTTCTGAACAGCATCCCTTTCACGTGATATGTACTTAGAATTATGATTACTTAGATATTTCAATCATTTCTTAGCTTATCAAAATTCACTACTGAACATAGGCCTCCCCCATAGATTACGTCAAAGGGAAGAAATTTGCCATAGCTGTCAAGTTTCACAGGTGGATTGGCAACCACCGTTACTATTTTCAGTTCGCATTGGGAAGATGCTGTTTACCGACGTAATGTTTCATCCCTCTGTCGCTTTTTGCGACACCTAGGGCATGATATTTGGCTAGTGGACTCCCTTACGCTGCCACGACACGGCTTCAGTGCACTTAGTATTTTTAGATCATAAATAACACGTGTTTTATTTTTCTTGAACAATTTTTTTGTTAATAAAAATAACGAAAAGTGACTGAATTTTAAGAGACCTTCTCTCTTCTTAATGTGAAGGCCCTAAGAAAGAGAAAACCCAAAACTTTTTTAAAAATAACGAAAAGTGACTGTTTTTATTATTTATTAGTATATGTTTCATACGTTAAAGTAATGATATAAAAACATAAGCTGAAACTTATTGTGACTTCCCATAATCATCCTTATCGTCATCATCAATGTATTCACCATCATCATCATCTATATCGTCATTATTACAGCATATCATAAGACTATGTTGAACATAGGCCTC